TTAAGACATTAAAATAATACAAAAGCATATTTTACTTTTAAACCTCTGTTCCTCTTTTCCTTAAAGAGAAATTGATAGCCTGAACAATAGCTCAGTGATCATATTAGTGACATTTAGATCCTTAGTCTAAAATGGACAGGAAATGGTAATAAACATAATATTTAATATACAATATTAAATATTATATTATATAATACATAATAGCATAATATGTCCTCAATACAATAGAGGTTGAATGATGGCTATAAAGTCACCTGGAAAAAGTTACCAGTGAAATCTATTTCCATTGCTAAGAGACTTTCCAAGATCTTTCATTAGGTAGTAGTATCATCATATCAATTGCTACTTAAAATAATGGAATAAAATTATTGTTAAACAAAGTGAGTCCAACACCCAGAAAAAAAACCCCAAATCTCCAAGTACAAAATGTGGTAACAAAAGAAAAGAAAATATGAAACAATTCAAGTTTCATTTCTCAAATTAGAAAGACATAAGATATTTCTTGTTATGGGTATATATCAGTATTATTCCACAGGGCTAATCATGTCATGTTGATAGTAAGCTACCAGGCCCCATTCATGATACTATCTCAAAACGTTCAATTCTGTGCCTAAGCAAATGACCCCTTTTCAAATGTAGCACAGTCTAAACCATGTAAGAAATACAGTCATTCTCAAAGAAGAGAAAGAAAAGGAGAAATATTCAGTTAAGCAATTTTTATTTCCATATGATATAATGAAAAGCTCTTCATTACTGGAGAAAAGTGATACAAATTCAGCAAAGCTTAGCACATCAGTAGTGAAGTGTCCTTCACAGTTTCACTGCAATACACCCTTTAAATGGATTTGACTAAAGAACCAAATTTCATGTTGCATCTAGGAACTATAGTAAAAAAAGATTTTTTTTCTCATTTTCTAATGATGAAAATTATAACCATTATAGGAAGGCAACAGTCATTAAATAAATTAAAAGCATCTTTAAAGTTTTTCCATATACATATAATATATATATATATATATTTTTAAATTGCCACTTACTGTACAAGCATTTCTCATCTAAAACATTTACAGAAACTAGTGTGAAAAGCTGAAGGGAAAGCTTCGTTTTCAGAAAAAGGGGATTATTTTATCACTTATTAACTACATTAAAATACAGCTCTCAGAGGAAGAAAAGTTATACAGAGAAGTCAGACTTACCCAAGATTTCTTATTTAATCACTTATTTAATCTTATACATTAAGTGTGCTGAAGCTATTCTCTAACCCAACCTTGATTCAACGAGAAGCCAATGTCCAGACATTACTTGTTAGCACAGAGAAAAGTGAAAGTAGCAAGATTAAACGGAATAGTATAGTTATATCTTAAAAATTATAAGATGGCTGATGATAGTATAACTCACATATGATTATCTATGAAAATATTAAATGGACAATGAGTCATACAGAAATATTAGGTAAAAATTTATCTTACTGAATAAATGATCCACAGTTAATATATAGCTAGGTGAATATAAAAATTAACCTGGAATACTGTAGTCCTGAGATCTGAGGAATCCAATCTTCCAGTTTAAGTTCTACAACCCCAATTCTGTAAATTGTATGCTATTTACATAGGTTACAATAAAGTATTCTTAAAATACTAATCAACATTGGCTGTCCCTTAATTGGAATTCCAGAGAACAGTTATTGAACAAAGAACTCCTTTATAAAATGACGGTGTGTATGTGTGTGGGGGGTGGGTTCCCACACTGCAGAATGGCTAGGGAAAGGTTGAGAGTGGAAGGGTTAAAGGGAAGAAGGAAAATAGGGAAAGAGAGAGAGAGAGATGCATGAATTTTAGGACATGGCATTTTGTAAATGTAATTTCTTTTCTCATCCATGCCAATTTTTTCTTTCTTTCTTTTTTCTTTTTTTTGGAACAGGGGATTGAACTCAGGGTCACTCAACCACTGAACCACATCCCCAGCCCTATTTGTATTTTATTTAGAGGTAGGGTCTCACTGAATTGCTTAGCACCTCGCTTTTGCTGAGGCTGGCTTTGAACTTGCAATCCTCATGCTGTGGCCTCCTGAGTCACTGGGTTACAGGTGTGTGCCACCACACCCAGCAATCTTTCTTTGTTCTTTGGGAATAAAACTTTTTCCATAGATAGCATAATATGTCCTCAATACAAAGGAGGTTGAATGATGGCTATAAAGTCACCTGGAAAAAGTTACCAGGGAAATCTATTTCCATTGCTAAGAGACTTTCCAAGATCTTTCTTTAGGTAGTAGTATCATCATATCAATTGCTACTTACAATAAATTGTAATTAGTTGGTACTTAGAAATTTTTATTACTTAAAGTATTTTTGGCCATTTGGTGGTATTTAATCTATATTAAATACGCATTGATTCACATTAAGAAAGGCAACAGACTTTAATTTGTATATGAGGCTGAGAAGTGATACTAAAAATTGCCAGCCTTTTTCATCAATGCATCTGTAAGAAAAACTGTTAAGAATTTAATCAAATATACCAAGGAACAAGAAATTTTCTTTGTAAAAAGACAGTATGACCAGGAGATATGGCAGTGACACTCTGGTTCATTTCTGTCTTTAAAATTTGGCATTCAAATGTATAGGAACATTTTTTTTTGGGGGGTGGGGTGAGAGGTACTGAGGATTGAACCCAGGGGCACTTAACCAGTGAGCCACATTCTCAGCCCATTTCATATATATGTATATATATATATATATATATATATATATATATTTATATATTTTAGACAGCATCTTGCTAAGTTGCTGAGGTTGGCTTTGAAGTTGAGATCCTCCTGCCTCAGCCTCCTGGTCCACTGGGATTACAGCTGTGCACCATCACACCCAGTGATAAGAACAATTTTTAGAAAGTAATTTCATCCCACATCTTGGTTTGAATCTTTAACTTTATGGTACCAGAACAACAACAACAACAACAAGGAAGTGAACTAGAGGAAACAGGGTTACTTAGACACCACAACTTCATTCATTTTTTAGACCTGTTATATCTCATTCAGAGTTAACACACACCCACACCAGCTTTTGTATATTTCTAAAGTGGCAAAGAGCTTCTCTTCATATCCTTTTAATAGGTTCCAATAAAATACCACTTAGACTACAGAGAATGCCACACTGGTTTACCAACACTGAAGTGTGGGGATGTTCCTTCATCTGGCTAATGCACAGAGATACTTGCAGTGTTTTCACATCCATCACTATAGTCCCCTCAAGGAAGATGTGTACAGAATAGCTTATAATAAAAACCCAAACCTTCAGTGCCAATAGGACTTCCAGCTCAAGTGGTCAGTCTCTTCATTTTACCAGGGAGGACACAAGACACACAGTTAACTCGAACCTTCCACAAAATAGATAGATGCTCAATAAATATTTATTAGATGACTGAACCACCATAGATAGCTACAGGCAGAAACACAGCAAAATTCCATGGCTTCTGATCCTGCACAGCTTCCAAAACAGACTAGTTATTTCTATTCACCAGGTAATACTCAACTAAGACAAGGACTAACCACAGATAAAACACTAACAACCATCTACAGCCTGAAATGGCTTCTTGTATCTCAAGCAAATATAGCAAGGGAAAGATTTATAAAACAATATTCTAGGACAAAAATGAGATAAAAGTATGTATGATAAATGGAAATGAAACAAAAACCAAATAGTATCTACATTTGACTCCTTTTCCTGGTGGATAAACTTTGTGAGCTTTGCTAAAGTGTAGATTCCATGACTAAGGCAAAGGCCCAAATTTGTGTGAAAAAGGTGCCCTTAATCCAGATGTGGTTGATGAATGATATTCAACCAACGTGAGAGTGTTGATAGTCAAGGTTTATGGGCAATTCCACAGGAAGGCAAGGCATTATCAAGCAAGTAAAATTCCAATGGCCTCAGGAAGAATTGTTGCTATTCTTGTGTTTTACAGGGAGTTTCTTTTTCTTTTCTTTTTCTCTTTTTGAGACAGGGTCTCACTAAGTTGCCCAGACTTGCCTCAAGCCTGCCATCCTCCTGCCTCAGCCACCCTCCTGAGTGTCTGGGATTATTGGTGTACACCACAGCATCTAACAGGAAGGACTATAAAATTAATTTTAGAAAAGACATATAAGAAAGAAGTGCAAAAGATGAGTTGCATCTGGGGTTTTTAAAAACTGAGCTGCTGACTCCCTTTTCTGGAAGGCAGAAAACTGAAAAAGGCAGTATTTCCAGTATAATGGAGGATCCAATGGCAACTCTGTATATGCTCTTGAATTGCTCTACCATTTTAGTAAATTTCTCATACTAAAATGGTGCTTGCCAGAACATGAAACTGAAAAACAAGGAATCCTGTGTAGACTGAGTTACAGAGTCATATTAAGTACACTACCTATAGAGGACACAGACCCAGGCACATGTACACACACACACACACACACACACACACACACTCAGCATACCCTCACTTCAATGCACACAGTGACTTGTGTAAAGAAAACAAGGGTAAACAAGTGAAGAACTTCTAATATAAACATTAACATTGACTGGAATATTTAACACATGTTGGGTTTTTTCAGAAATCTAAGGCAACAAGCCTACTTAAAAATATGAAATTACTGTTTCCCCTAAGTTGTTAGAATGAGTAGAGATAAATGATAAGCTACTGCTGTTTCTCCATTCTATTTTTAAAGCCCCTTACAAAAATAAATCAGAATGTTCTTTAACAGTTCTAAAAACAGTTTGATACTTTTCCTCATGTGATTTTTTTCAAAAGAAAGAAATATGTGTCCATATTTACTACAAATTTATTTTTAGTTACATTCAGGAACAAATGCAGTCCAGTTCTGCATGGTAGAAATCTTCAATCTATTTGCTCATTCTCTTTTGACTATAAAACAATCTTTTGGAACAAAATGCATTGGCAGTGCAAAAAAAAAAAAGTCCATAAAAATAAACTAATGATTGAATGAAGCATTCAAATGAGTTCTTTGCCAGGTTATCTGCAAGCACAAGACTCTACTGTCATGTTAGGATATACCTTAAGCACTACATTCTTATTTTCATCGAAGAATAAAATGCTGAGTGAGGACATCTTTTCTGGCACACAGCAAGGCTCAGGAATCCCAGGAACAACCCCCACAGCTCTCACTATGCTCTGGATGGTAGCGTGATTTGATGGTTTCAAAGACTAGAGAAAAGAAATGAGAGAACACATGTTAGGTGGAATGGTTATTCTACTCCTCATCACACAAAATGCCTATATAATGAATTTGTTTCAACAGTTTTGTAAAATCCTGACATAGTGTACTATGTCACATAGTGTACTATGCCCAACTTCTGCTCCCCATCGCCCCGAAGTGATAGTCATTTGCTAAGAACCTGCTATATTCCAGGCATTTTATACAGACCACCTCTAATCCTTATAACAAAAACACTGTTTCTTACATTTTGCAGACTCAAAAAGCTTAAATGACCTGTCTGAAGTCAAATAGCTTATAAGTGGTAAGAATTTGAGCCCATTCTTTCAGCAGGAATCACTTAACTTCAAAGAATTTAATCCCCAACCATGGAATTGATATATCAGTGATGTTTTCAACAATAGGTTTGCAATAAAAAAAAAAAGTCTTTGTTGTTGTTCTTGACCCTACATTAATCATGAAGAACCCTAAAAAATACCCTATTTAACAGAGGTGCCTTAATGCCACTACTATAGTGATGTTTATGCATTGTTATCAAAATAAAACTAAGTGGGACAGAGGAGCATTAATTTCTTTACTAGATGCCAGGAAAATGAATTGGATGGTGACTGTTTCATTAATGTAATTATTCAACTTTCAGAAGTGCAAATTGAGGTTAAAAAAATACCACTCCATTGGCCACTGGGGGTCACTGTTGCTCCATGGGTTTAGACTTGGTAGAGTTGTATTTTTAGGAGTAGATCTTGTCCTGTGGGAATAAACTAGAGGGTCCAAGGTCATCCCATGGATGTCAGACATTTGACCAAGGAAGCCTGGGTTAAATCTCTTCCCCGGGAAAATCCAAATGGGATCATTACCTTCCATGTGAAACATGTGGTTTTATTTAGAAAGCCTCATACAGCTCTGCTCTAACTCAAAGCATTGAAGGGAGGAGTCAGTTTTGCTAGCCCAGAGTGTTAGGTCCTGCAGGATGGCCAGAAGACCTCCATAAGAGATGCCATGCTTTCAACAGCACTTTTTCCCCCATGGTCTCCTTTGGGTGGGTGAAACTGGTTTTGTTTCAATCATATTTAAAAACAGAAATTTGGGGGTTAGGAATGAGGCTCAGTGGTAGAATGCTTGTGCTTGCATAGCATGTGTGAGGCCTTGGGTTTGATCCCCAGCAACACACACACACACACACACACACACACACACACACAAAGAGAGAAGGGGGAGGGGAGAGGAATCTGGTAATTTGCCAGCCTTCAAGTCAGGAATAGGATTTAAGTCAAAACTCTCACTCTAATTTCAAGATTTTGAGCAATATTTCTTATGGCTTAGAGGCACTCCTGCCACAAAGAATTGGGATTTTAAATTCAAACTCCTAACTCCAACATGGGAAACTGGCACAAGTTACATAAAAGTCAAAGGAGAAGAAAATAATACAGAAAATCAGCATATTGTGGGGGGTGGGAAAGGATTCCTTTTGGCAGAGAAAGGGAAAATATTTTGTCTCATTGCACTTTTCAATTTCATTGTAAAAAAAAAAAAGAGTCCATACATTTGACTTCAACTTATTGTGAATAAATATAAATAATTTAAAAATTAGTCTTAATTTTACTCTTACTTTCGAGGGACTTTATGTATAAGTTAAAAGGAGAAGTCAAGTTTCAATTCACTAGCTTGGACTGATTGCAAAACAGCCCCTTAAGTGAAAAAAAAAAAAGTCCAGGCTATTCTACTTTGCATTTTGGGTGCTCTACATCATCAATAAAATATGTGAACCTCACCCAAATTGCAACCAGCATTGAACCATGGATGTCAATAGGCTTTGTTTGTTATCTTAGCAGTATCAGTAATTTCTAAAAAGAACTTTTGCAGACATACAATTTTCTCTATTGATTTAAAGTTATTCTGAAGACTCAATCATCCAAACAGCTTGTCATGAACCCCCAAAAGATTTTTAAAGCCAGATTTTCTAACATAATTCTATTATTGTTAATGTCTAATGATTCAATATTTACATTTTATACAAACTTGTTCTATTTAATTAGATCAGCCCTTGGGCAATAAATATGCTGCACATTGCTGTCCTCAGTGCCTAGAACACTGTATACTCTTGACACTGAAGAAATATTTGGTAAATGGATGAAATACTTACAGGAAACAGCATACCCTTCATTTTACCTATTTTTGTGGGGAAAAAATTCAACACCAAAAATGAAAGGTTCTGCCGGAGATATGGAAAATATTCATGGGTGTTTCCTAGGAAAATTCCTATCCTTTTTTCCCCCCTTAACCTCCAACTCATAAATGATGGAGTCAGAAACTATGAGGGTATGAGTAGTCTCTAGTGAGCTCGCGGGAATTTAGCACAAGCCCTTGAATGGTGGTGGTGTTTTCTTATCAGAACCTCTCTGATTACTAGGGAGTTTCCCCTTTTTTCTCACTATGGAATCCTCTGATCAAGCTCCCCTTACCAGGAATAATTATGTCATGCACAAATGATCCATGCTGTAATTTTCTGGGGTGAAGCATATTGCCTGTTCACAGTTTTGGGTTTGTTTCTGAGTTCAAACTGTGTTACTCATGACTCTTTTTACTGAGATTGAGAAATGTTTCAGCCATAAATGCCAGCCTGTTCTCTTACAGTCACCAGCCTCTCTTTTAAATGAGGTTGAAACATGTCTTCGACATCAGGTCAGATAATTTTTTGCTTAAGAAACACAGCACATCACAATTCAATGTTTTTAGTGTTTATATTCATGACCAGACATTAGAATTGGAAAATTCAGGCAATTCATTGAGGATGTATGGTTTTGAACTAATTAATGTGAATTTTTTTCATATGGGATATTTGGTGCAACATATTTGGATTATTTGCTGCCTAGTTCTGTCTTTGCTATCCCTAGTTTTTGCATAATTCCTTGCAAAAGTAACTTCATTCCTCTAATCCTTGTTTGTTTCTTGGAGCTCTGTCAGCAACAATGGCTCAATCATTTTCATTTGAAATTTCTGTTTTCCATCTCTGCTAAGGTAGTGAGGGAGGCAAAGAACTTGGCTTTGGCTATGTTGGTATTTTTCATCTCATGGCAGAATTCCAAGAGTCTCTCTCTCTCTCTCTCTCTGGGAGAACAGATTGCCTATAAGGGCTAGAAATCGGAAAAATCCAAACTGCTCTGTCTGTGAATGAGATCTACAGTGGTCAGGTTGCACCTGCCAAGCTGTGTGTGATGTCCTCAAGTTGAATTTGATTACAAATACATTAGCAGGGGGAGAGTATGTCATCGGCTAGGAGCCTTCATTCCTGACCCAGACCTTGAGGTTTTGCTCCCCACTCTTCCAGTCCAGCCCACATGGGTGTGAGGGCCCAGAAACTATCTAATTGGAATCAGTGAAAGGGCAAAGCCTGGAATTTGGGAAAGGCAGAGCACAGCTGTTCTGAATTATGGAGCAGGTTGTCGACTTTAGCAGAAGAAGAGACCTGCCATATAGAGCGGGCTTTTGCTCAGGAGACCCAAAACAGGAGAGCAGCTGAGCAGTCTGGCCTGGGAGAACTTTTCTCTGGGGCAAAATGAATATCTAAAGTCTGAAGATTCTTTGGTGCCTCCATTACTGCACGTGTCATGCTGACCTAGTTGCAGACCCTCATTTTGTTCAGCTGGTCAGGCTGCGTTTCTATTTAAGTAGTTCTCTCTGGTTGCCATATTCGACACTATGCTGACAAGGGACATACTTGCCCCTTGCCCTTCCTTCAGCTTTATGTTTCCCATCCCTTGGTTATTGTACCATTGGAAGACTTAAAGGAAACCACTAGAAAGCTTTAAAAGTTAAGCATATCCACACAAGGTGACGAGAGATTGAAAACTCTTTGTAACAGCCAAACCTCCACTCTCCACTTGGCAAAAGGAAATATCAAGCTCAGAGAGAAAGCTCCATGCTTATCCCTGTTATGTCTCCCTGGAGCTCTGATGCCATTCCAAGTTTTGACAAATATTATGATGAATCCAGTTGCTGCAATGGATGCTCTCCTCATTCTATTACTCTCCTAAGGCACCTCACTGGAAGAGCTCACAGGCTGTTAAACCCGCAGGGAGAATCCTATTTTCAATCTTGTGATATTTGTAAAGGAACTAGAAATACAGAACTTTTTCTTGCTTTACAACTTTTATTTTCTTGCTCCCTTTCCCTACATAGTCTTTCTTCAGCCCCCCCACACTTAATTTTCTGTTCTCCTCAGACTCTGCAATGGTCATTAATGATAACAACAATAACAGCAAATACTTATTGAGCACCTACTGCATGCAAGTTGCTCTACTATCTCATTTCCCCCATCTCATTTTTGTTATGAGGTACTATTATTACTATTTTTACCCATTTCCAAGATGATAAACTAACGTGTAGAGAGTTTGAGTAATTTATCTAAAGAACCATAGTTGGTAAATGGTAGAATCAAGATTCAAGCCAAAAGCATTTGCTTATCAATGTCACTACTCCAAGTACAATTTGTGAATCAGCAGCATTAGTATCATGCTGAAGCTTGTTAGATGTGCATAATCATGGACTCCAGCCCCAAACCCACTGGATCCGAGCCTACATATTTAAAAACCCCAGGCAGTTTGCAGACAAAGTAAGGTTTAAGAAGCCCTGTATGATTAAGCATGCATATTTAATTATTCTGCTATGTTAACATACTTCTTTCCTTAAATTTATCCTTTTTGTAACTAATCCCTTATTAGCTTTTAAATAATTATTCTTTAGATAACTGAGGACCATGGTGAAGCTCTTCTGGAGCAATACCAGGTTTAGGATGAGTAAAAGTAGGTGGCACTAACAGAAGAGAGAGACACAAGTGAGGAGAGTGGTGGAAGGCTGGAGGCTAAGACCCTTCTCCAGAGTTAGGGAATGAAAAGCAAACCAAAAAGAACATCTCAACATTCGTATGGCTTTCTGGAACCTGCCTGGAGTCAGGAGGGAGGGAAAAAAACCTTCTTTTCCAGGTTACCCAAGTGACCTATTTATGAGGGTGAGAGAGAGAGTTTAGAAAACCCTCAGCCTATCTAAAATCAGTCTTCCTGAACTTAACAGTAGAGGAATCTATTCTTGCCTCTGGATGCCACAAGGCAAGCCATATGGTAAAAGATTCTTCTCTGCTTGCGACAGGTGTCATCTTTGTTGTGTTTCTAAGTGTCATCTCTGGTGAATGGGTTTTTGTTTCATCAGAAAAATGTACTCCATGAATCTTTAGACAAGATAAGGTGCTTTTTATCACTGTAAATGTAGATAACCCTTACTTTATATTGAGTTTACAAAACTTGATATCATTCAAAATCCTTGGGAAACATAAGGTCTTGGAAAATGTGAAAAGCTTATCTTTCTGAGATATCCTAACAAGAAAAACAGGATGTCAGTTAGCCCCTTTGTTTTTATGTGCATAGTACCCAGTGATCACAGGACTAGAAACATAAAAATGCTATCATAAAGGTTTATAAACAGAAATCAGTCACTCTTTGAGGTGAAGGATCTTATGTCCCCATTATCAAACTATAACAAAAATTGATTCAAGTATTTTTAAAAATCCACTTTTTTTCTCTGAGTTCTATTCCTTGGGTCACTTCTCATTGTTTAATACAGATTCAGATTATTTGAAGCTAAGAATGAAAGCATGGCAAAAGCTGAACCGAAGGCTGGAGGGTACCTCTCTATTTTACTATTTATACCATACATCGAAAGAGAACTGTCACTTGGACTTGCTGTGCAAAAAAGAGGTGAGTGTTGGAGAGACTTCTGAAAATATATTTGTCATAATACTCAGTAGTGATATGATAAAACGCAGTCCTAACTGAGTTTGGAAGAGTCAGATAATTTCTGAGAGGTTAAAATGGGTCTTGGAAGACGTTTACAAAGTCATCATATTCTATTTTGCCTTATTTTTTGACATTTAGCAGAGAAGCAAATGAAATAAACATCTGGAAGATCAAATGAGTCCAGTTTACCTAGCCAAACCCTGATCTTAACCTCTGTAGGGACAACTCTTCTCAAGAGTAACTACTTATCAAAAAAAAAAAAAAATGTTCTGCATCAGGGCATCAATCCCATTAGCTTGTCCTTTTGCTTCCACCATCTCTATGCATTCCATTCCCTGAACATCTCTCAAAGACCAGTCTTCTACCACCTGGGGTTTGCTTATCATAGATAGGTATAGATAACTAGTTGAATATGCACCATGTTTGGAAGCAACACAAAAGGCATATTTTATGCATACATTTTTTTCATATTCTTCATATTCATTTTTGACCTCATATTACTTTAACACCATTAAAGTAAAAACAAGCATAACCATATTACCTATTACACTTTAGAATGTAATAAATCAGGGTCCAGATGGATTCTGTAAATGAAAACATGCACTGACACAACATGCACATTCAACTTAGTGTGGCTTTCTACTCTGTGGAAATAGAAAGAACAGGGCTAAAACAATGGCTACCTTTGGCATGGGGAACTGGCAGGCTCCGGAGCAATAATAAGCATCAAAAGACTTGGGGGAGATAATCCATTCACTCCAGCCAATATCCGCAAAGTCCACTTTAAGGTATCTCTTGGCACAATTCCGAGGTTCAACCCACTGCTTTCTTCTTGCCTTCTTCAAGGTCTGTTCATCAAACTGGAGCGTCTGACTCTTTTGGTGAGGTCCTTTTCTCTGTTTCTTCTTGTTCTTATTCTTCTCAGGAGGCTGAGTCTGAAGGGTCTTGTAAGGCTTCCTTTCTTCCCATACCCCTTCCTCCTGGTACTGATATTCTGCCCCAGGAAGCTCATTGTTCTGCAGAGGCAACAAGATACCTGTAGAGCGTTTCTTCCTTCGTTCCATAGAAAGGGCAGCTCTGATGTGGCTATCCAGTTTGGGAACAGCTCCAGTGGGGAAATTCCAATGTCCCTGTAAGCTTGACACTACACTTTCTGGCTCAGAAATGGCAACATCGTTGGCATACACCAAGATATAAGGCTCCGGAAAAGGAACCATCCTTTTTGGAAGTTGCTGTGCTTTGGGGGTCATGTTAAATCCTATGAGGAAGTCCTCATTTTCCTTGGCCTTCTTCAAGAGCTGAGTGATATCTTTAGATAGCCAAGACATGGTATCTCGATGAGGTTTGGCTATATCTACTGACAGATGACCCAGGAGTTGGCTTTGGTTTAGATTAGCTTGGAGGCTCCACGCAGAGAGTTCTATCTGAATGTGTTTTCTCTGAGCATGATGTGAGCATCTTGGGGACACTGGACAATTCCAACTGATGTTTACTAGCTCTCCAATATAGAAATACAGTGTGGCAGACAAAATGTTTTCAGACTTGGTTAGGGAAGTCAGATTAAAAATATGCAGTCCTTTGCTTTTAAGGTCTCCTAGGAAACAAAAAAGACAAAGAGTAAATAGAAGTAAATAAGACCTCAACCATGTGAAAAATTTTGACTCAAAATAAATCAGTGCCCTAAATATATGAGATAAAAGCCATAAAATTCTCCAATGAAAATAGAGGAGTAATTCTTCATGAACTTGGATTTGACAATGAATTCTGAGATATGACACTCAAATGTGAACAACAAAAGAAAACAAATAGATATATCAATAAAATAAATTTATAAATCAGATATAGTGAAATTCATTGAAATTAGTAACTTTTGCATCAAGGGACATAATCAATAAAGTGAGAAGACAATCTTCAGAATGTTAACCATATATCTGACAAATCTAATATCCAGAACCTAGTACATAAGTGGCAGCTATAACTCAACCACAGTTATAACTCTGTATAAACCAATAAAACATGAGCAAAGGGCTTGGATAGGCACATCTCCAAAGAAGATATACAAATGGCCAACAGGCACATAAAAAGATACTCAAAAACATTAGTCATTAGGGTACTAGAAATCAAAACCACAATGTACTAGTTGAGACATACTAGTATGCTATAACAAACCAACCCTAAAACACCAGAGAGTCAGAGAGGATGTGGAAAAATTGCAACTCTTTCACTTTGTCAGTAGGGAGGTAAAATGGTTCAGTTGTTGTGGAAAACAATTCGATAGGTCCCCAAACATTTAACATAGAATTACCATATGATCCAGCAATTCTACTCCTAAACATATGCCTCCAAAACCGAAGATAGACACTCAACTGAGTATTTGTTTATAGCAGCACTATCACAATGACCAAAAGGTGGTAACAGCTCAATAGATCGTCAGTGGATAAACAGATAAGCAAAGTGTGGCATTTTTAAAAGATAGAATGTTACTGTTATGAAAGAGAATGAATATCAATACATTCACAATGTAAATAGACCATGAAATATTATGCTAAATAAAATAAACTAGAGATGCAAAAGTTCACAAATTGTTTTGTTTCATTTATGTGATATATTCAAAATAGTAAAGTTCATAGAGACCATAGTGGTTGGTGTTTGCCAGGGACCAGAGGAAGGACCAAATGAGGAGAAACTCCTTATGGAGTTTAGAATTATAGAAATGTTTTGGAACTAGATGCGGCTGGTTGTTGCACAACACTGCAAAGGTATCAATTGCCACTTTATTGTTCTCTTAAAAAGTTAATTTCCTATTTTTGTGAATTTTACTTCAATTAAAAAAAATACAAACCAAAAAATTTATGCAAACTCTTGCTTTTGAGGGTTTCTAATAGGGGTGGGGAGTCACCAGGAATAATTTTAAAAGCCAGAAAAAAGTTTAAAGCAAAAAATAGCCACTTTTATGATTTGTTGTTTCCTTTACTGAAGCACCATAAATGTGTGAAAATTATAACACCATAGTAAACTTAGTGCAGGGGTGGGGTGGGGCAGAGCTGAGCATTCTAGAGATGATACAGATCTGCACATATAACTTTGACAAAGTACTGTAATAGCCTCCTATCTGAGGCACCCAGGCCTACTAGATACAAGCACAGGTTTAGAATTAGACTCACCTTGACTTAAGTGCTGGTTCAGGAATTTAATTAACTGGGGGAGCTATTGTTCTCATTCATAAAATAGAGATAATTTCTACCTCCCATGTCATCAAAATTAAATGAGATAAGTTTAAAGCATTTCAAAAAGGATCTAGTTATGCGTTTCTTCTTCTTTTTTATTTATATATGACAGCAGAATGCATTCCAATTCTTATTACACATATAGAGCACAATTTTTCATATCTCTGGTTGTGTACACAGTATATTCACACCAATTCGTGTCTTTATACCTGTACTTTGGATAATAATGATTATCACATTCCACCATCATTAATTACCCCATGCCCCCTTCCTTCCCCTCCAACTCCTCTGCTCTATCTATTCGTCTATTCCTCCCATGCTCCCTCTCCCTATCCCACTATGAATCAGTCTCTTTATATCAAAGAAAACATTCGTCATTTGGGGTTTTTTTTGGAATTGGCTAACTTCACTTAGCATTATCTTCTCTAACTTCATCCATTTATGTGCAAATGCCATGATTTGATTTTCTTTTATTGCTGGGTATTATTCCATTCTTTATATATGCCACAGTTTCTTTATCCATTCATCTATTGAAGGGCATCTAGGTTGGCTCCACAGTTTAGCTATTGTGAATTGTGCTGCTATAAACATGGATGTGGCTGTGTCCCTGTAGTATGCTGATTTTAAGTACTTTGGGTATATACCAAGGAGAGGGACAGTTAGGCATTTCTTAAATGTAAATCGTCAGTGTAATTAATGCCACTATTCACAGTACTGTGGGGATTGTATCTCACACCTGCCTCACAAAATGTAGGGTGCAGGATATGTGTTGGGTAGGCAGGGTGAAGTAACTTAATATTCAGAAAATATATTAAAAAATGAGCCACCCATTCAAAAATGTTTTTAAATTTTTTTCTTGTATAGTTTGTCTGAAATCTGATACTACATAAATTTTGAAGTTAAATTTCTATATGGCTCAACAACAACAACAAAAAGACTGAAATTGTTTACTTGTACTTCTAGTTCTTCATATCCAGAATAAGAGATAGTAGAGAGAAGGAGACAGATTTGTCAAGGCAGAACACGGCTCTTTCTCATGAGATCATCTAACAAGTTATTGGTAAAGCTGAGGTTAAAGAATGTCCAGTCCTGGGATTGGCCACCAAAACCGAGGCTTTCCTTCATGCACTTGTTCCATATACATACTTGTTTCAGAAACACATGCAATCATGAAATTATGTTCTTGATCAAAAACATGTTTCTGTAAAAACAAAACATTTTTATAAAGATGTGGAAACTTAAAATGAGTTCACTGAGTCCCCAAGCACAGAGGAAGTGCAATGGGAAACACATTTTACTCATTTTTAACATTGTGTGAAGCAAAAGAAGGAAACTGCCATTTGTGCACATTTGTATTATCCATGACACCAGGATAATATTTTGCAGACCTTTATAACAAAGCCATGGCATTGGAGTTGTTCAGAGACTCTGACCTTAATTCATCCCAGTCACCATAGCATATACTTTTACCCAAACTTCGTGTAGCAGAGGGAAGTTTAAAATGGAAGAAGAGAAGTCACTCTGTTCTAAGTTTGTGGCAATAGAACAGCTGCCAAACTTACTGGCAGTGAATGAATGAACTCCGAGGGACAGGGTGGCAGAGTCTCAGTGGGTAAACTAATCCTGCTCCTTTCCCCCACATTTTGCTTCAAAACATTTCCTTATTTCAGACTAGTTTCCCATTACCTTGTTACCTACTCTTGGTCAGCCTCCACCCCTGTGTCTAATCTTCAATATCTTCTCATGAAAATTCTCAGAATCTGTCACACCACCTGGTCCCACCACTCCCATTTCAGTTCAGGCCATGATTTTAAAGTTTAAGCCCTGTGACCCAGTACCTATTCCACTACACTCAATAGGGGTTCTCAGACAAATTACAAATACAAACAAATGTATTTTGTTCTCAGACAAATTACCTAAACAAAATCCCAGTCTGCTCCTCTATAAAATGATCCCAGTAGTATCAACTGCAGAGTTGTTGTGAGGATTAATTAAATGAATGCAAGTAAAGTCCACATAGGAAAGCCTCCTTAAATGCTAGAACTGCACTGCCAGGATGATAGTGACCAGCTACTTCAGTTCAAAGTGAGGCGTGCTGTATACATGTAAAATGAACCCTGAGTTTCAAAGATTTGCTACAAAAATAAATGTACAGTATTTCAGAAATATATTTTATATTGAGTATGTATTAAAATGATAATATTTGAGTATATTGGATTAAATGTACTATATTACTAAAATTAATTGCTTTTGTTACTTTTTGCATTTTTAAATGTAGCTACTAAACTTTTAAAATTATATATGTGGCTCACATTTGTGGCTCCTATTAAATCTCTATTGGATGGTGGTGGTCTAGAATAACCACTAGTTTTATAGTCATATGGCCCAAAAGGAAATTTTTTAAAGCTTGTATTTCCAAAGGCAGTAAGAATGAGGATTTTGCTCAACATGAATAAGCAAATAAAACAGTAAATTGGGCAAAAGATTCCTTTCTTGAAATGCAACATTCTTTCTTTATGAAGGACATATTAGATAAAGATAATCTTGGTGATTACTTTAAAAATTTCCCTCCAGCTGCAGTTAATCATTTCAATCTGCAACCGAAAGTCTAAGACCAACAAACTGCTCTATTCTAGAGCTAAAAGGGCCTTATAACACAGAGATTATATACATAGTTTCCACTGTATTATTTGTGTATTACACACATAAACATACTACAACCAGCCATGAACAGAGACCAAAGCAAAATAAATGATTTACTTTAACAAACATGAGCTGAACACCCACCAGGTGCTAGAGCTGGGGCTAGATCATAGGGTTTCACAAATAGATGCTCCTATTCACGCACCCTGGTGAGAAAGAGGAACATGAGTAATGTGCAGGTAGTTCTGCCACTTTAACACTAGCTGTCCAAGGTGTTAAGGATCTTGGAACAGAAGAGGAAGCACTTAACTTTGTCCAGATAGGGGACAGAGGAACACGTGGGGAAAAGTTGCCCTTTGAACCACACTAAAGATGAAGGCAGAAGGGAATGTTGGGAGGAGAAGGAAGGAAGGAACATGTTACAGCAGTGTCACAGCTGCTGTTATAGCAGCTGAAGATCTGGAAGCTTTTCCACAAGGAATATTGGCAACATTTTAAATATAAATTATAATAATGCTTAAAATTAACCCAGTTATATTGAATTCTAGCAAACAACTAAGCCAGCCAAATTCAGACAAGAAATGGCTAATTCACATCTAGCTTCTAACCAAAGGGGAGTTAAGTTATACCCAGCACTTGATGTCTTTGCTCTTGTCATTTCTGCTCAAATCAAGGAAAGTTCTCTTTCTGCCTACTCTAAATCCCTACTCTCCTTCCTGTTTTT